AAAACATTTTACACCAAGGCAAGGGAATTTTCTTCCCAAACTCAGAATCTGGGACAGATCTCTGAATTACTTGAGCTAATGAATTTGGCAGAAGGGACACAACTAGGTCTCCAAAGGAGACCTATCACTTCACACATGTTCTGAAAGCCTTGTCTCTACTCCGTGAGTCAGACCTGTGTAACCAGATGGAGGACACAACACAATCCAGGGGAAAGAATGTTCTTGCTTCATCAGAAACCATTAGAGATGAACTATTCCCTTATTATATGTTAATGAATGTATTAAACTTTGAAAATCCTAACGCATCAAGTTTCGGATTCACGTATGAGCATCTGTTTGACCAAGGTCCCTTGAAAACACCAGTGTGTGGCTAATGCTGTTTTTCCTTATCCTGCTTGGAACACAGAACCACCATGCGGGTGATGAGAAGGAGTGTAAGAGTTCTTTCTTCTCCTTTTATCTCTGCAATATTTTACATTTTATTGCTATATAAACTGTTAATTTTTGAAAAAAATCTGCAGTCAAATGTGGTTTGTGAAGGAGATTATATAATTGTTATCTCTAAACTTATATGATCTGAAACAAGGCAAGAGGTATGTTGGTACAATATTTTTTTGGTGTGTATGTGTGTGCTGGTAACTGGGGCTTGAACTCTGGATCTAGGTACTGTCCATGAGCTTTTATGCTAAAGGCTAGCCCTCCACCACTTGAGCCACAGCTCCACTTCTGGCTTTTTGGTGGATAATTGGAGATAAAAATTTCATGAACTTTTCTGCCCAGGCTGACTTTCAAATAGATCCTCAGATCTCAGCCTCCTGAGTAGCTAGGATTATAGGAGTGAGCAGCATCCTGTTTTGTTGATACACCCTTAAAAATCCAGGAATGATCACATTTTTCAGATGAGTATCTACCAACATCATGGACCCTCCCCTACCTTCTTTGTGACATGCAAGTAGTTTCAGGAGTTTCTAGGTGGGAAAATTATTCTGATTCTTTATTCTGTCAGATTGTGTACCTACCATTTTATAATGTACAGCCCTACAGTATTCTTGACTCCTAAACAGTTTCTATAGGATCTAGCAGGGAAGTTCAACCCTAGGCAGGACAAAGAAAAGCCCCAAAATAACTCTGTCAAGGAAGCAAATGGTTTTGGCTTCATTTAATACAGAGGTGTGGATGTGGGAGAGTAGTACAGAGAGGTGTGTGTGTGTGTGTGTGTGTGTGTGTGTGTGTGTGTGTACATGCGTGTGTGTGCATTTGCATGTGTACGTGTAGAAGGCCATCTGTCAGCTTGGTGATCCAAAATATAAAGACAAAAGCAACACCTATTCATGGAAGTTGGAGACAAATAGGCAAAGGCTGTGGAACACAAAGTGTAGGAAGGGGCCTGGCCAGGGGCTGCTTTGAGAGCAAGTGCTGTCTTTATGTGATGTGGTACAAGAATTTAATTATCCAACAATGGTGAGCTTTGCATGTAAGGACATTCATTTGCTGCTTCACTCCTCACAGTCATTCATTGCTTGTTTTTGTTCATTCATTCCCTCATTCATTCAGTCCCTGAGTAGTTATGCTCTGCCTAAGATAGCCATCATTCCTGTGTTCAATGGACTTTGAGTGTGGGAAGTATGGAGTTAAGGCAATGCCTCTTGGTAAATAATTCAATCCAACAAAATTTATTAAGTCTTTATCCATTGATACAACGTGTTTAGTGACTATATTGATAGAAACAATTAAACTCAGCACTCAATGAGTTTGGCCATCGGCCAGGTTGTATGTGAGCATACTTAAGGCCCAGTCCCAGGGCTACAAGGACTCACGCGATGTAACAATGTCAGTAATGCAGTCAGAATATGAACCCAGATCTCTCAGTGACCTTGGGAATCACTAATTCTGTGATTAAGGTTGATCTAATTTCCAGTTCTATGATGGTTTACAGAGCTGTATGAGACACAAAATCCAAAGGCTCTCATAGATACATGAGGAGAAAATGAGAATCCATTGTGACTCTTGCAAAAAGAAGTACTGCAGTAACTCAGAAGAACTGATTGCTCTCTTTGGGGGTAAATAACGCTTCCCTGAAGAGGTGTACAATCACTTAGAGTAGCTGATAATCCCCAGTTCAGAGAAAACTGTTTGCAGGAGAATTACTTGTACAGTAACACACAGAAATCTTCTCCTTTAATCTAATTCACACCTTCTGTTCAGAGCATTTGCAAAAATGTTTTTCTAATCTTCCAAACAACGTTAAAAAGTGGCTAGTATATTCCTTTTTTGCAGATGATAACACAGTGGTTCAGAGATTGCAAAAAGCCATCTAGGGATCTCAGTAAGAAGCCATGGCAACAGCTACACACCCAGATCTGACTCCGAAGATCAGGCTCTTGCTTTTGAAATGGATGGGTGATTTCCCCAAGGAGAGCCCCAGAAGAAAATCTAAATCCCTCCACTGGACTCAGTGCAGACCTGATGTAACAAAAAGGAACAACAGCAACAGGCCACTGGACATTTTCCCTTCCTGTGGGAACCTTGAAGTTCCACAGCTGATATACATGGGAGTGGGGTTATCTGTGGTTGATTTCTCAGTTTGGATAGAGGGTGGGTGGCATAAGGACTGGCAGCAAGATCATAGAAGATGAGAGCATAGAGGCTTTCTAGGGAGTGCATGCTTAGGAGAGCGGAAAGGCTACAAGAAGTCTGGAGGGTAGCAAGATCCCAGAGCAGGTTTGGATGCAGGGACATTGCCTCTGGAAGGCATACATCAATGAGGCCAGTTCCCCAACACATTAGTTACTTTCTTCCAGCTAGGTTAAAAAAAAAAACCTTGAGGGCTGGGAAGGTAGCTCAGTGGTAGAGCGCTTGCCTTTCATGGCTGAGGCCCTGGGTTCGATTCCTCAGCACCACATAAGCAAAAAGAAAAAAGCCAGAAGTGGTGCTGTGGCTCAAGTGGTAGAGCGCTAGCCTTGAGCTGAAGAGCTGAGGGACAGCGCCCAGGCCTAGAGTTCAGGCCCCATGACCAGACCCAAAAAAACAAAAAACAAAACAAACCCTTGAGTAGAACCATGGGTCTCAGGGTCATGTAAAAGTGGTTCAGACGGGGCTGGGAAGTTGGCTCAGTGGTAGAGCACTTGCCTTGCATGCCTGAGGCCCTGGGTTCGATTCCTCAGCACCACATAAGCAAAAAGAAAAAAGCCAGAAGTGGTGCTGTGGCTCAAGTGGTAGAGTGCTAGCCTTGAGCTGAAGAGCTGAGGGACAGCGCCCAGGCCCAGAGTTCAGGCCCCAGACCCTACAGGTAGCAAGAAAAAGGGGCCCTGGTTCAGCAGAATCTCTGCAGACAGCCTGAGCTGTCTCTTAGGCTTTTAGGAATGGTGAAAAGTCCTCATAGAAAGTTGTCATCATAGCAAATACAACTAGGATTCAGAAAACAGCAGGTAGGAAAGCACTATATGCCATTTATACAGCCCAGGTATTTCCCAAGAAAAACTTTTAGTACCTTTATGTAAAGACTGTTTTGGAGTCAGAAAAAAGAAAATTATCAGGAATTCTCCTACATTCTTTCTACAAGGTAATGGTATTCAACCATTCATTATATGCCATGGTGTCTGGATTTCCCCTTCCAAACCCAGGCCTTACTTTTGGTAATAGGAAGACCACAGGAATCTCTGGGAGGTGGAGGGAAAGAAAGGGTATTTACTGAGGAATGGCAACCGCAGGAGCACAAAGGCTGGGGTGACATGATGATGCTCTTCAGAACAGAGGGCCTGAAGGTCACCCCTAGAACACAAATCTTTAAGCTAAGTTGAGATGTTGGGAAAGGATGGCAGAGAGAGTAGGGGGAGGGAGTGAAGTCTCTGGAAGCTACAGTTTGTAGGGATGATCCAGGAGGAAAAAAATGAGACTTGTGAGTATAGGGGTCTTTTAGGCAGCCTATCAGTCTAAAGAGCTTGGCTTTTCTCCCCGAATCCCTCCTGGATCTATTAAATGTGGAGATGGTGTGACCAGAATGGCTAATAAATGTAGAAATCAGTGCAGCAAATAGGGCATGTTTCTTCACGACTCTCAACCTGTCAGGGGCAAGTGAGGCAGTCTAGACACTAACTGAATTGAAGGGAACTGTATAATGGGGGCTGGACCAATTGAAACTCAGAGAGAAGGCCAGTCCCTAGGGCTGCCTGCACTCTGCATAGAGGTTTTCTTCTGAGTGCCTGTTAGAAAAGCCATACCTATGATTTCTAGGGCTAGTAGTGGTTTAGAGTAGTCTCACAGAACCTGGGCTGTCCCTTCTGGCTCAGATTTCAAGGAGCCCACAAGCAGATAGGGTACATTCGTATCAGACATGGTTGTCATTGTGTACACATCCTGGGATCTCCCCAAACCTGCCACACATGGTGCTTTCCACAAAGCTGTGCTAATTGGCTCTACCCTTAAACACACTAAAGGCTCTGGCCAGTCCTCTGCTGTGGTTCCTTTAAGATGTTTCAACTACTTTGTAATTGGATATGCAATTTTCTTCCCAGAAAAAAAGGTCACTGTCCTGTACTTAACCAGTTATCACAAAGCTGTGGCTGGAAACCTTTGCCCTAGAATATTTTGGACCTGGTTAGACACAGTTGTTGTTGTTTTTTCCCACAGTTCAACTAGTTTCCCTTCATAGGATCAGTCCTTTGCCCCATTAGCTCTTTTTGATCATCCCTATAATCCCTGCCTGTCTACAAGGTAATGTTATTCAACCATTTATTATATGCCATGGTGTCTGGATTCTACCTGCCAGACTCAGAGCTTACTTTTGGTAATAGCTTACTTTTGGACCACAGGAATCTCTGGGCAGTAGAAGGAAAGAAGGAAAGAAAGAGGAATGACTACTGTGGGAACACAAAGGCTGGTGATGATGCCCCACAAAGTCATATGGAATATGAGGTTCATACCAGAATAAAGGCTCCTTTTCACAGACCCGAGACATGTCTTAGCACAAATCTCTTGCAGCAGAGGGAAGATGTACTTACACTTACAGGTTGACTTTTTGGCACATCATAAACACCTTCCTTCTTTTGGCTGGTAGGAACCTATGAGGGAAAAAAGCAAATTCAACTGTCAAAACGCTGGTACTCTTCATTCAAACAACAAAGCAGCCAAATTTCCACTGCAATGTGGCTAACTAGATTATTAGTTCCTAGGGCAGGTCAGGGCCCAACCCCAATAGGCAGTCCTAACTGTGAAGGCATTCAGCCAGGTTCCTTCCCTTAGTAAAATCACATGAGAACTGGGGTGAGTGCCATGTAGTAGATGGCTGCTATTGGGACTCTTAGAAAGTCACAGAATAGGAAGCTACAGGTACCTCATGCATCATGTAGTGAAAAGAATAATCCTTGTTGGAATAAAGAAAAGACTAAGGCCAAAGAAGGGGTTGTGATTTGCCCAAAGTGGTTATCCATAGCTTAAGAATAGAATGAAAACTTTTCAGGGCCAAGACTGAGATCTAGGTTGTTAAAAAGATAATGAATACCAATCAAGGTCATAGTACAAGATTCATGTACAGACCCTGTGATAATTAGAAAAGGCTTTCCATGAAGAAAAGGGCTCATAAACAGGTAAACATGCAACTAGGTTCTAGAAAGCACTGATTGCTTTACCTGCCATCTTTGGGCTTGTATCTGGTCTTTTGCTCACAACCTGAGCAGGCCACTTGGCATCTTTGAGCTTTTTTACTACCAAATGGCCTCTCAGTTATGTTCTTGGCCAGTTTACATAAGGACCAATCCGAAAATAGATATTAGGTAAAGAAAACTATTAGGTTCCCCCAATACTGTGAAGAATGTGATGGGTTAGAATGATAATTTGTCACTGACACATTAAATTTATGCATATGAACACATTTTATATCAACAATAGTCCGTGAAATACTTTTTAATGAGTCAATCAAGGGACCTGGATTGGAACATTCCAGATTGTAAACACTCATCAGCTGTCCCTTCCCCAGCAGCTGCCACCGCTTACTTCCCACCTCCAGTGGAGGGGCCCAAGGAGCAGTGGATTAATAACAGGCTGATAATGTGACTTTCTTTCCACCAGACTGGGCAATCCTCAAGAGCAGGCGTAGGGCCTCACACCCAGAAGGCACTCCATAAATATCAGCCGGGTAAATGTACCATAAAGGAACATGGGGATAGTGAAGAAAAAGAAGTATTTGTTAGGCAAGAAGCAGATATCCATACCATTTTTTGAGAGTTAAGAATTTGAGCTTATACCTTCAGTTCCTTTGTCATTTTTCACTTTCATTTAAGTTAAACATCCTTCTAACAAGCGTGAAGAGTTGCGTTATCATTTCCCTTCTAAACTGCAGAAAGTGAGTCTCAGAGAGATATCACAAATTTTGACCAATGCTTTAACGCCGGCGGCTCTTTCTAGTGGTCAAATAAGTCACTTTTGTCTCTAATAAAATATATTACATGTTATATTATAAATCATATTATATATTATACACATAGTATATTATACATAAAATATATTTACATACTAGGTCTTTGTATATATTTTATACTTTATATATATATTCATTTCATTATCTTTAAGTAGTTGTACAAGGGGGTTACCATTCAATATGTCAGGTTTTTTTTTTGTTTTTTTTGGGGGGGGTCCAGTCGTGGGGCCTGAACTCCGGGCCTGGGCGCTGTCCCTCAGCTCTTCAGCTCAAGGTCAGCGCTCTACCACTTGAGCCACAGCGCCACTTCCGGCTTTTTTCTGTTTGCTTATGTGGTGCTGAGGAATCGAACCCAGGGCCTCGAGCATGCAAGGCAAGCGCTCTACCACTGAGCCACCTTCCCAGCCCCAACATGTCAGGTTTTTAAGTATTTTTTAAATTGTTATTATACAGGGGATGTATAGAGGGGTTTTAAGTACACTGCATCTTGATTATTCTTAGCAGTATAAACTAACAAGGAGCATGGACTGGGCACATTCTATGGGTGGTACTTTTCTGATCATTTGTCATATGCCTTCCCTTAGAATGCTCAGGATAAGTCTATCAAAATGACAATTGTCCCCATGATGCAGAGGAAGAAAATGAGGCCTGGAGAGGATCCAGCAATCAGAGAATGGGACAGCCAGGAGTTGAAGCCTGGAAAGTTTGCCTTTTGATTTCTACACTCTACACACAGCTGCGTCAGGTACATCTTTTTCTTTGACAACACATCCTATATTCCCAGAGGCTGGTGCGCATTCTTGCAGAAAGCAGAGCTACAAGTGAGCTTCCACGGCTGTGTGGAAGATGCCCTTCCTGAGCTGTTTTCACAAACCTCAGTTTGCACGTAGCCAACGAAGAATGTAATTTCTTTGCTCCTGGTAACTGGGCTCCATTAAGAAGGAATCCTCCCTGAATGTCTACAGAGTCCTTGCTAACGAGGGCCAATAAATTACCAGCCCTCACTTTTGTTTTTACTAGCTCACCCTTTACTGAGCAAAACGAACATCATTCTGTTGCCCGTAATTCACTGCTTACTACGGGCACTTAGCACAGTTGAACCGCGGCTGCCTCTCAATTATCCCTGCAAATGGAGAAGAAGCCATGCGATGGATAAACCCAAACTGTGCATAATTGAAAATGCTTTTCTACTTGGCTCTCCCATGGGTGAGATATCAATCTGCCTGTTTGTCCTTTAAGATTGATCTCAGATGGGACATCTTCTCGGAAGCCTGGCCTGCCTCTCTAGGCTAGATTTGGAGTCATACTCTGTACTCTATTGTAAACACAAGTGTACAAAAAAAACCCAAATAAATAAAAAAATTATTTTTATTAACAAGTCAAAATTTCCAGCCAGGCACTGGGGGGGCTCTGGCCTGTAATCCTAGCTACTCAGGAGACGGGTCTGAGGATTGCAGTTTGAAGTCAGCCTGGGCAGAAAATCTGTGAGCCTCTTATCTCCAGCTAACTACTGAAAGGCCTCGAGTACAGCTGTGGCTCTAGTGGCTCTAGTGCTGAGCAAAAAAAGCTAAGGGACAGCACCTAGGCCCTAAGTTCAAGCCCTCGTTACTGACACACAAAAATAAAGTAAAATAAAATAAAAATGTCTAAGTACCTATTCTGTGTCACGCACCACTGTACCTTTCATGGGATGAGGCTGCTAACCAAGGTGGGTGTAGCCTTGATACTGTAGCAGAGCTTCTGGTCTTGTTGGGGAGATGGAATTGTCACCAGGCTACTCATAAAATAGGCTTTAGCTTTTCACGGGAAGTATAGCACTACATAGTAACTGTTCATGGTTGCTTTTTTATCCTATAAATATTGGTTAAACAGAGATAGGACTGATCATCCAGCATTTACCAATGGGTGTTTTGGCCCTCGCTCCCTTCTCTGAATATCTGATCCATCCAGTCTACATAGACTACTGCAAATTCAGTCGCAAAGGTTAGGAAATATTTGGTTGCTAATCATGGCTCTGCTCTAGGCTGCGTGACATGGGCAGGTCACACTGCCCTCTAAAACTCACTTTTCCTTATCTAGCTGTCATGAGACTTAAGGAGTTGCTTCTGAAGTCCATAGAGAAGAGGACCATGTTCTCAGAGGTCTAGAATAAGCTAGGTGCTCATAAAGAAGTTGATGAAAGACTTTACATTACTCCTTACGTGCTGTTCACAGAGGACACTTTGGCAAGCCCTTCAAGGGTTGTTGGGTGGCATAAAAGTAGAGACTCAGCTGGAGGTTTACAACTGTAATCTTACATCATCAGGAGGCTGAGATATGAGGATTGCAGTTTGAAGACAGCCTGGGGAAGAAAAGTCCATATGACTTATATTTCCAATGAGCCAGCAAAAAAGCCAGAAGTGGAGGTATGGCTCCAATTAGCCCCCAGAAAACTGGAAGTGGCACAGTGGTAGAGTGCTAGCCTTGAGCAAAAGAGCTCGGGGACAGTGTGTCCAGGCTCTAGGTTCAAGCTCATTGACTGACAGAAAAAAAAAAAAGCAAGGTCAAGAGAGATTTCTGGCAGTCTCTGTGGGTTTTTCTTCACTCAATACATACCATAAAATCTGGCACAGGGCATTGATCTTGACCACAAGGGAAGCGAAGGAGCGCTTGTATGGAAGCTGTCATGGCCCAGATACCACCTCCTTGCTTCACTTCTCCTCACATAACTTCCAGAAGCAGGTAATGAATTACCCTTGTTTTATGGCCCAGGAAATGGAGATACAAAAATTATATACTTCATTCAATGCTACAAAACGGTAGTCTCAGGTCTATTTGCCTTTCTCCAGAAAACACAAGGGCCTAGCTTGTAATAGAAGGAATATTACCACGGACTCAGGAGAAATAGTTATGCAGCATTTACTAGCCTTTAAAAAAATGAGAAAGAGGCTCTTAATAGCAGTGCCTTAAAAGCCCTGCTTATCTTCAGGTCCAAAGCTTATCTCTTGTTAAGTACATTGAGCCCAAGCAGGCTGATTGTGCAGGAGAGAAACATGACCCCAGGCCTTTCCAATAGATGGGATAAAATATTCATTTCCTTAAATGATGCTGTCCTGTTAATGATGGACAGATGGGGATGTGGAGAGGGCAGAGTTGTTAAAAACAAGTGTGATTTTTTTTTAGATAGTGACTTAAAGCATGATCAGAATCTAATTGGAAACTCAGGATCAAGTAACTGAGTTGAAAAGAGCTCCAGGATTTATTGGTTTCTTTATAAAGGTCAAAGAGACCTGTCTATGGAGATTCTAGCTGTCCCAGCCCTGTCACCCTGGCAAGATGGCATCTCTCTGTGAGCCTCACTACAGGGGTGGAAGAGGGGGAGAGTGCAAAAATGTTGCGTATAAATTCTCATATGCAGAGCCAGCCCACAATCAGCACACATGAAGCCCCCTTTCTAAAAGTCTTATTACCCTAGAAAGTAATCCAACCCTTTGAAGACCTAGAGTCCTGTACTGGCTATTGCTTGTGCAAGTAGCAGTAAATGGGCTTTCCTGAGAGATACTTGAGCCCAGAGAAAGAAGCTGACAAGTTGGATCAGTAGCTGAGATTCAACCGGACAAGAGTGTCCATATTTTGTGCCCAAAGATGACTCTTTGTTTTTATATTCCACACAGGAGCTGGTTTCCTCCTCACACCAACTTGTAAGTCAAGGAGGAGAGACGTTCCCCAACTTAATCATTGGGGAAACTGAGATTGGGAGAGAATCTGACCCACTACCAAAAACTAAACATTGTTGGTGACAGAGCCAAAACCGTAGCCCAGCTTTGCACCAGCCTAAGCCAGCACTTTCTACGACACTGAGATGCTTCCTTGTTTCCACGAGGCTCAGCTAATAGCTAAGCTGATTGCAAGCCAGCCTTTCTACAACTTGAGGCAAGCTTTCAGCCCCCTTTTATACTGGTTATTTTCCAATTAGAGCCTTAACCTTGTATGGGGGACAGCTTGAGATGTGATCTTCCTATGTGAGCTTTCCTTTGTTGCTGGGATAGCAACCACACACCACTGCACACAGCCATTGAGTGAGATGGAGTCTCAGTGAACGTTTACACCCTGGATGGGCACCAGCCATGATTCCTGATTCCCTGTCTCTGCCACTTAAATAGCTAGGGTTGTAGGCTTGAGCTATCAGATCTGGCTAGTAGCCTCTCCTTGGGCAAAGCTACATTGTGATAAAAAACGAACTCTGTTTTTCTAGGATGGTGGATTAATGGCTCTTAGTCCTCTGCATCAAACACCTCAGAGTTGTACACTCCTTTAAAATCCAACAGTATATACAACTGCAACTTCCTATAGACAGACATATTCTAAATGATGACTAAACAAAACCTCAGAGCACAACTTCACATTTGACTAGAATCCAGATGGATCCAATGGAGAAAAACACTTAAATTATTATTCCTACAGGCTGGTTTTAAAGCAAGTTGTTGGTAGAATTAACATTATACTTGGTCATTTAGAATTCTACACATTTGATAGAAATTAAAAAAAATATGTTTAACTTTTATTTCATAAGTAATGCAAGCCCAAGGCAGAATAATAGACCACACAATTAAGTCAATTAAGGAAATGAAAATCACTGATTAAATGCATTAAATCTGTTCCTTCTCCCATAGTGTTTATGCTTTAAATTAAGACTAAAATTCTAATTAGTGACAAATTGCAGGTCGTTGTATTTATTTGATGTGCAGCAATTCCAATGCCTGGGTAGAAGCTGGAGGAACCCAAGCTTTTCCTTTGCTCCCGCTGGGGTTGAAGTCTTGGCCCTCAGAAGCTGTTCAACCTCTCTGAGCCTCAGTTTCTTCCTATAAAAGCAGGATTCAACTACTGATTTTATGATTTAGTTTGTGAGAACAAAATGAGTTTAAAAGGATGTTTGGTACTCTTTCCCTAAGTAGATATTTGAGATACTAATTTACCCTTTCTTTAGCAATGACTAAATCTTTAGCCCTTGTTTTTTTTTATTCTACAAGGACTCTCAATATTGGTTCACATATCAGTCTTGAATTTGTCCCTTATGTTCAGTAGTAGAGATGGCTTTTAAAAGAAATTTGATGAGTATATTCTTTTGAGAAGTGAAGGACTCCACTGACTGCACAGTGGGTAAATCTCTAATGCATTACTTTCAGACAAGAATGAGAATGTCTGATTTTTGCTTTTACTTAAAATAGCCACGATCCATTCAAAAGTAAAATGTTGTTTCTAACTGTCCATTAACGATTTCAACAATAAGGTATAAAAGCTAGTGGCAGATTGCTGGGGGACTGGAAGCCAATGTACTCAAAGATATTTTAACAATCCAGGAATGTCCAAGAGACCCTTCTCTACTTAGAATTGTCAGTGTTTTATACATTTACTGGTGGTGGTACAAGGATAAGAGGCAAGCAATCTTATACCTGGTAAATGTTTTCTTCCGTTTCAGGATCACGGATTGGCTCATGTCCAGCCTCAAACACAATGTACTATGACAGGAGCAGCCAGAGAGGAAGGATCAGAGGTGGAAAAGGAAGAGGGGGAAAAAAGCATTCAAGATACAAAAAAGAATTCAAGATACAAATCACAGCAAGCCTTATAGAACAGGCACAAGAGAAAAACACCTTGAAGAAACAAACATCTGGATTACTGAAATAAAATGAGTGTTGTTGAATTTTCTGGCCTTTCTAAGAAAAACCTGCAGAAATTTGATGCCCAGTCCTTTAGCACTGATGGGCATGGGTCCCTGGAGGTTTTTCTGGAGACATGAGCTCTTGATTAAGTGGCACTTTTGTCTCAGAAATATGCTGCTACTCCTACTTCATGGAATGCCTGGAACCCCAACTTTGTTATGGTGCCATTGAGTTTTCTCCTTTTGTTCTCTAAAGCCCAAGGTCTTAGACCAATCCCAAACTCCTTTAGGTAAATACCCTTGTTTTATGGAGTCAGTTTTGAGTATTGAACATTGTTTTTTCCATGCGTATGTTTTAAACTCTAAAGACCTAGCACATTTCCAACAGGTAGGCAGGGACTGAAGCTCATGTTACAAACATGATACCATGCTATACTCAGAGGCAAAGGTGTGTCACTGAAGCATGTATCACCAGTGCATCTTTGACTTGTGCTTGCTATATGAGCACAAGGTATTTCTTCCCTTTTTACTTGTCCATTTTGTTTTGTTCCTAATAGTACCAGCCTTGTGTGTTAAAATATACATCAATAAGAAATACATACATAACACATATATAGAACACTTATATATACTAGTTACAATGATAAGTTGGAGGTTTTCTTTTATGTTCAAAAAGTCAGGAATTTTTTTCTGTCGTCTTTCTCTCTTTAGGACTCAGCATGGGGGAGGGAGATCCTCCTTTTCTTTTTCTCTGCAGCTCTGTTTGCACAGAGCTTGGGCCCAAGAGAGATCATCTCTACCCACCCTCAGACCATGAAGAGAACTCAGAGAAAGCTCCAGGCAGAGATGTCTCTGGAATCTCACTCTCTCTGTCCTCCCATCAGCTCTGTGGGATGATGGTCCAGGTGGTGGTCAGAGGGTCAGACTGCACCATTGAGTCAGAAATACTCCTACTTCTCGCCTCGTTCAAAGCTCACAAACCATTCTGAAGGGTTGTGCTCAAATGTCACCAAAATGTCAGCCCCATCTCTAATTCTTAGCTTTAGAGAAGGCACCTCATTATTCATCTTCTCTCTAATGAAGTCAGAATATTCAAGACACTCTTGAAAACATTCAGCCCTGGGATCAAACTTTTATAGATTGTGGGGGAGGCTGAGGCAGGGGCAAGAAGGGAGAAGCAAATTTCCAAATCCCACTTTACACTTGCTGGCTAAGTGTCTGTTAGTAATTATCGAAATTGACTGCGGGAAGTGCTGGCAGGCCTCACCCTCAGGAATCATCTTGGTCTCTCTCCAGGCTTTGCAGCCAGTGCATTCTAAACATTTCTGTCAAAATGGCTTCACCATAGGTGTAGCCACTGCAACACCCCAAACACAAATTCATGTCAGAAATTACCTGATATACAGGGTCTTCTACATCCTCTTCCAAAATTGTCTATCGCAGTGAGGAAGGGGGAGGGTATAAAGCAGAAGATAACAGAGGGAGAGATGTGAGCTTGCATTCAGAAATCACAGGACAGTAGAGAAAACAGCTCTGGGTAGGCGAAGTTGGTGGGTCATGAATGCAGAACATGCACAGAAAAACGAAAACTCTGCCACTAACCCTGCACCCACTGGCCCCTTTGTTTACACCAGCAAAAGCAATTGTGTGTGTTCAGTCTTCCCCCTGCCCCCCAAGTCTTTCTCTAGATTAGAGATTTTACTTGGACACAGCTGGAATTTCTGAGACTAGGGGGCTGTGAGGATACCTGTAGTTTACACAGGAACCTTCCATTTTTGTTGATTTCTGTCTGGCAGCAGGCAAGGGCCTGTCTGTCAGTGTTCACATCCGACAGTTCCAAGTTCCCACCTCTCAGAGCACCAGGATAAATTCACAGCTCTACCTGGTACACAGCTTGTTCACACTGCTTATCCTTCTGTGCCTTTTTTTCCAATTCTTCTCTTTGCTTCAGTTCATAAATGAGTTGAAAGAGATCTCTCAAGTCCAGAATAACAGGTTCAGCCTGGAGTGAAAAGTAGAACAGTGCATTAATAAGGGAATGATGTGAAACTGCAGCCACCAATTTCTGTTTTTACTTTCCTTTTCCTTTTTTTTTTTTTTTGGTGGTTACAACCCACAGCCCTTCCTTTTTCTATTAAACTGAAAGCCTCCATTCTTAATTAATTCTACCTTGTTTATATTGGTTTAGCAAATTGCATCTAGGCTAAAGTTCGTTTCTCCAGCTAATTATATTTGCAAATTCATAATAATCATAAGCATAAAAGGCATTGCTTTTATTTATTAGTGATTTTGAATACAATGAAATTAGGGTAGACCACATGCAAAAGAGCTATTTCTTTTCCCGTATTTTATTTTTAAATCAGGCTATGAACACAAAGAAATTTATTTGTGTACATGACTCTATCTGGTTTTAATCAGAAAAGAAAATAATTAGTCATTAGGAAATACCAATTGCAACTTAAAAACAAAAACAAGAACAGTAACAGAGTATACGTGTGTTTGCTTGCTTCCTGGCTATTTATCTTTTCTAGGTGGGTATCTGAGTGGCCACCGGAGGTGGTGATCGTTCAGTGGGTCACAAGTCAGACCAGAAGAGGGATACTGCACTTCTCCAAGGAATAAAGAAAGGTGCCCTCCTTAGAATACTTACCGCCTGGGCTGTTTTTATGGCCACAAATCTGTGATTCCCTTCCTTCCCACAAACATATCCAAAGGCCCGGTGATCTGTGATATCCTTGGCAATGTAGGAGATTTCATGAACAGCATGATGATGCTGAAGGGCCTATCAGAGACAAAAAGAAGAATGCATTTCAGGGAGCCTTCCTTCTGAGCTGGGATCAATAAGAGATGTGTTTCAGTGAAAGACTCAAAGGGTTTTTGAAAAGCTGTTTAGTCCAGATGGAAGAAAAAATAGCTGTGCGTGCCCTTGAGAAATGGAGGTTCCACTCCATGGTCTCAATGCTGTGACCAGAGAGATGGAGAAGATAGGTACCCAGTGAGCATCTGGGAAGGTGGCTTCATTTCCCTTGCCAGAGCTACCTAGTCTAATTCAGACAGTATGCCTCTGCTCCGTTTATCTTTATGACGTAGCCCCGGCCAAGCTGGGGCTTGATACTACCCACCCAGGCTCTGTGTACTGCCTCCAAGGGGTACCCTGAGTAACTCCAGAGGGTGCTCCGAACTTTCACAGGACCAAAACTTTGCGTGATTATATCACTTTCCTGGCCAGTGAGGGCACTAGACAAAGAATGAACAACTTCTCTATTTTGTCTGAAGTTGGCAGTTGGAAGTAGGCACATGATTCTCTAAGTCTGGGTCTTATTGTCTTATAGTATGTATTATTGTTTTTGTTTTTTTCATTGGTAGGGCTTGAACTCAGGGGCCTCACTCTTCCTCAGCTTGTTTGCTCACAGCTTGTGTTCTACCACTTGGGCTGTGCCTCCAGCAAAGCTTGTTGCTGGTTGTTTTGGGGTGGAGTTTGACAGGGTTTTCTGTTTAGGCTGGCTTTGAACTGAGATCCTTCAGATGTCAGCCACAAGAGTTGCTAAGTGTAAGCTACCAGTGCCTGGCTTGTAATGTCCTTTCTTACCCACCTGCCCAAACCCCTTTTGTCTTTCAAGGGCTACTTGCAATAACACCAGGTCCTCAATATTTGCCTTTAGAAAAGCTAGTCTCTTTCTCTGATGGGATATTTCTTCCCTCCTTGTCTCTGCCCTCTTAGCCACTTGTACCAGGTTACATCATAGCTGCTGAATTCAGGTAAACTGGGACTGATGATGAGTAAAATCTTTTGAAGTTGACCTTTTGGTCCTTATTTTCTGTCCTTATTTTCTACATTTCAAAATATAATGTTCACCAACCTATTAGGATCTTTATGTTTACTTTCCTCAATAAATTATCTTATAACAATCTACATTAGACAGTACTTTGTACAAGGCTATAGATATAACTGCATGTTTGTGATATGTTAAAATCCTTATAATGGACTGTCTGTTCATATCATATCAGGTACCAAGAGATTTGAATTCTAGCATTTGTAAAGTTCCTTGTATCCATCTCCGGATCTCCATTTATTCTTCTAGCAAATGAGAAGTATGCAATAGATCAAAGGTTCCAAACCCAAAGCCAAGTACAGATAGCTCATGCCGGTAATTATATATGGACAAAGTTCAGGGCCAGTCCAGATGCAAAAGTTTACTCAATTATACTTCCAATATAACCAGCAAAAAGCTGAGATGCAGGTGCAGCCTAGCAAGTTGTAGGTCCTGAGTTCAGACTCTAATACTGCCAAACAAAAAATAAGGTTCCTTACTCAAAATCCGCACAGGGATCCTTAAAGATAAAAAAAAAGAGGCACCTAATAAATGTCAAAATTTCCAAAGTGACACAAATATTTAATTATTCCTAATATGTTTATACATTCCTTTGTGAAACAAATTCTTCCTCATAAGTTTATAAATTTCTTTGTCCACACTAACGAAAACATGTTCATTTAAAATTGCTTCTATGTTGTTCTTCCAGTTATTAGTCATAACACACCGAATCCAGGATCTGTCCTATATTGATAATGATTTAGCTGTAATTACTCCATAAACTATAGCATCTAGTGCCTGTTATGAAGTCATGTTTTGGTTCCCACTGTGTAATTTTTTTCTTGATGCTTCAGTTTTAAGCGCTGAGCATATTTTCAGAGCCCCAGTCACAGCCAACTTCTAAAGAGACTTACTCATTGACAGTTAGCTAACCTCTGATGCTCAGATCACCTCCAATCTAGAGTCCCTGCCCATAAGAACTTGAGGACTAGCAAGTCCCTTTGGAAGCCTCTTTTTTATTTTTTGGAACAGGGTCTTACTGTGTAAGTCAAGCTGACAAGAAACTCTTCAAGTACCCATGCTGGCCTTGTACTTTTCATCCTCTGGCCTCAGTCTCCTCAGTGGTGGGATTATAGACATGTATTATACCCAGGTAAACGACTTAAATTATTGTTTTGCTGTGTTTTATCTCTGTTATCTAAATGCCTGAAAAGCAGCAGGTAAGGTGGAAAATCCAGGAGTCTGCTAACAAGGGAAAAATCAGTGTTCATTGGGATTGAAGATATTGAAGATACCCAGGGACCTAAGGATCTATATTTGACAGTGTACAAAGGAAGGAAAGAAGAATCCATTGGTCATATTGACAGGCCATGGAAGTGTGTAATGAACTTCTGGAATCTTCAAGCACAACACACAGGAAACCTTATGATTTGAGTCATGATCAAGTCAGTCAGGAAGCTGGGTTAATTTTTCTCAGACAATGTGGGCTGGGTCTTTAAAATCATATTTTCAGTGTGTGGGAATGTGGATTCAGGCTAGACTATTGGTAAAGTGGGAAGTTATCAATCTATCATAACGTCAAGTTTCTTGTATTTTGCACTCCCTTAGGGAAGGGTAGAGATTCAAGAGAAGTTGGACTCAGGATTTAGATATGCAGACATAACCCTAGTCTTTTATATCCCTGTCTCTTAGGTGATCTAGTCTTGAAGGAATGACAGTCTTGGAAGGAACAGAGGTCAAAGTGGAATTTGTAGAAGTGGTAGAATTTGTTATGCCTCCTGAAAGAAGCTTTTAGGTAAGACAATCGCTTTTCTTACATTGAAAATTTTTTTAATTGATATAACTTCTGAGAAAACATTACATCTGTTTACTGCTCTTATTATTCTTTAGCTTGTATTTCAGTAACTAGTTATGGCTTAAACAGTTTCCTTCCCATCCCCCACCCCCGCAAAATGAATGATATAAATGAAGTATCTTAGTGGATCAAATCTTTCCTATTATTGAGTTGATGGAGGGAGGGAAAAATACAACACAGGGGAGGTTGGTTAGGGAATGCAAACAACAAGGAATTGCCAGTACCTCCCATCTCAAGGCAGCCTCCCACTGTAGGGGCCTCTGGCTTTCATGGGCCTATTACCTTAGTTTTAGAACAGTCTTCTTCCAAAATGGCCAATCCTTATCACACTGAAGTCTTATCAACTGCCTGATCACACAGATGCTCTGCTGTAACAGAACTGTTCAGCTTGCCCTACCCTTTCAGAGTCTAACCATTTGCTCACCTCTCTGACTACTTATAGATTCTTCCCTGGATTTCAGAACCTGCTAGGGCTGCTTACTGGCCTCTAGACCTCACACTTTGAGGATGGTGTGACTGCCCTCAAATGGGAAGGAGATTCTACATACTTCTAATGGATTTTGACACAAATAAATGGAGGAAGTGTCTGTCAGTGAAATAATTAGGATCCACTTGTTTTTGTTTTATCAAGAGGATATATTTAGCTAGCAGAGGAAATTTGTTCAAAGAGCGGGTAGCTTTTCCATGGTGTTAATGATGTAAAATTGATGAGATTTATATTCACACGACATGGGGGCATTGATTTATAAGCTTTTGTGAGCTAGAATGGCATGCCACAGAGGAAAATAGGAGACAAAGGCATTCTTTTCTTCTCTTCCTTTCCTGAAAGTATTTCTAACTCTGCATAATGTGGAGAATGTTATCCGCGTCTCCTATTAAATCAAAGTTTGACGACAGTGCCTTATTGATTGCCAAGTAGAATATTGCTCTAAAATTAAACTGCGATTAGAAGTCTTCCTGGTGGAATTAGATTTGGAGATGTGCAATGGTAAAATATCACCTCCCATGCAAGACAGCAGCTGGAGATGTTTTAATTTATCTGGGAATCCTCATTAAGTGCTTTAGAATCAAAATATTTTTAATGCCTGACAAGACCCAATATTGCCTTTGCAAAGTGTAGCTGTGGGTGCACATGCATGAAGCACTCCAAGATATCTGGAGCATTATCTTTTCCTGTAGTTAATTTTATGACATGTTAAAAGGGAGTGCTTTGAAAGTATCTCATTCATTTGGAAACTAACAGTCAGTGAGGGAATGTATCTCCACTTTCCTCAGCCTTAACTATGCAGACATAATACAGACACTTAGAAATACAAATACATTAGAATTCGGCTAATCCCATAGTTGTAGTACCACATTCATTTTAGCAACTCAGAGCCCACTTGTTCACTGAGCCTCAAAATTGCCCCACGTCTTCAAGTAGATTTAATCAGTACAATCAAAGACACTTGGAGCCAGAAGGAAACTTAAACATTATGTAGTTCAACTCTCGAGTTTACTCATGAAAGGATTCAGGGTCAGAGATTGTACTGGCAGAGCTGGTATTAAACCCAAGCCTTCTCTTTTCTAGTCAGGATGACAAAACACTGTGAAAAGAACAGGATTATGAAGAATTAAGCTCTCCTTTCTTCAGGCTACTGGTTCTCTAAGAGTCAACCAAAGGATAATGACTCCTGATGAGCTGGAATATGAAAGCAAGGGAAATGGAGAACAAGACAGCAGGTAGGACTGAGGCTGTTTGGGATTCTTGCAGGAATATGAGGTCAGAAAGTCACAAGTGTGAAGTATCTTAGAACAAAAGGTTGAAGCAGCACGACCCTGAGTTTATTTAGAGTTCCAGCCATTTTTAAAGAACACATAGCTTCTGATTTTTCTGAAAGTATTTTTGAGCCAGGCGCTGGTGGCTCATGCCTGTAATCCTAGTTCCTCAGGAGCTGAGATCTGAGGATCACGGTTCAAAGCCAGCCTGGGTAGAAAAGTCCATAAGACTCTAATATCCAATGAACTACTCAGAAAAATACTGGGAATGACTTTGTGGCTTAAGCACTAGCCTTAGCACAAAGAAGCTCAGGGACAGCACCCAACCCAGGACTGACAAAAAGAAAATTTTTGAGT